GGCCGGGCGCCGCATGGCGCGGCGGGAAAACGGCCCTTGACCACGTGTCAGGGGCGGAAAAATGGCCGCGGACCACGTGTCGGGGCCGTACCCCGAGGCGGAGTTCGCACATCGAGGTAAATTTTGGCGGCCGGAGCTGGTTGTAACCTGAAAAGTTCGTTAGTAGAGGCGTTCGTATCTCGAGGTACCACTGTACCTGTAAACGTTGAGCTGCTCATACTACTGACAGTTGCAGAAGGAGTTTTTAGTCCATCGTTATCACCCAGTTGGAGTTCTCTTTTTATAGGCTGTTCTGGAATTAGATAAGGGAGACATTCCCGTGGTTGTGTCAGAGACAAAGATGTCCCATCCAACTGTTTCTTTTTTCCTTCTTCCTCAGCTGAAATGGCAAAACGAGGCATTTCGAGAAACCCAGAACAATGCCGGCGGACAGTCAGGGGTGGGCTGGAGTCACTCTCTGTATGAGAGGATTCAGACACTGAGATATGTTTACGCAGTCTGAAGGAAAAAATACATTGCCATCAGTCAGTTTGCAACACATCAGTGGTTTTAAAATAAATCCATTGTTGGTGATAAAAGAGCACAGTAATACAGAAGTCAGGTGAAGATAATTAATTTGAATTAATAAATGAAGAAAGGAAGGACAAGTAAAAAAAAATCAGATTGGACTTTACTTTTTATTTACTTATTTATTTATTACATTTATATCCTGACCTTTGAAAGAGGAAAGCAGCTTATGAGGGGCAGTCTCCTTAATCTCCCCCCCCCCATCCCAAATAACAGCTCTATAAAGTAGTTTGCACTAAGAGAGAGTTATTTGTCCAAACCTGAGGGGGTCTTTAATTTGGGTCCTCCTGGTTCTTCAAACAGAAGCTGTTAGAGATGCTCCAGTGCAATGTTTCTCAACCTTGGCCACTTGAAGATGTGTGGGCTTCAACACCCAGAGTTCTGGCTGGGGAATTCTGGGAGTTGCAGTCCAAGCATCTTCAAATGGCCAAGGTTGAGAAACACTGCTCTAGTGGATCTTGCCTGAGCAGGACATTGAACTAGATGATCCCTAAGGTCATTTCCAGCTCTATGATTCTATGAATTAATTTCATCCCACTCTCCCTCCTTTTTTCCCCATAAATCCAAATTAAATATTTTAGTAATTCTAGAAGTTGCTGTTTTATTCTTACTCTGATATCCATGTAGGGAAGTTGTTTCTTAAAGTTTACTAAAACAGCATACTGAGTTCTGATGTCACTGGGATTTAAGAAATCCGTAATTCCATTGTCTATGACCATGGGCATGCTGGCTGTGGGTGGAAAAAATTGGAGTCTAAATGCCTGAACACATTAAGTTTCTTTCTGCAAACAATATAAAAAGCTGTAGCTTGAATTATTATGTTAAACTACTGATACTCAGAATTCTATTAAAGGAAGTATGTTCAGCATAGTCAATAAGGTTAATTGAATATATGGCTGTCATTTTATTTTTCTAAATTCTGCTGCACTGTGTCTTAGATGGCTGTATCTGTGCTGTTTAACTATCTTTCTAAACCTGCTGTTTCAAATAATTGTTTTATTATATATATATATATATAAGCAATGTTTCTCTACTAACGGCTGCTATCAAGTAATTAATTAATTTCAGAAATAAGTAAATAGCAAAACATCTAGAATATAATTTTAGACCAAGGCTGGGCAACCTTTTTGGACTTATGACCACATTTGTGGTTGCAATTATATTCTTGGGGTATAATTCGTCACAGACTGCATACTACGGAGATATGGACAATCTCTCAGTGCTGGGAGTACCTTCCCTCCCCCCAGTTCCATTTTTTCTCATTCAGCAACAAAGACAGTGGAATAAACAAAGATACATGAACAGAAAAGGAGATAGATGGATAAGAACAAACACATAGTTGTATACAAGAACAAGAGGAAAAAAGAGGCAGGCAGAAGGACACAGGTAAACAGAGACAGGGATAGAGAATAGAGGGGGAAAGTATGAATCAGAGACAGCAGGAAGAGAATGAGAACTTTCCACAAGAGCAGTTCCTAGTGGAGAACTGATATGGTACGTGCGTTCATGTGTGGAGTTATGTAAGTAATCCTCGCTACAAAAACCCCTGGAGATAACAGAGTCCTTGGCGAAAATGGACTTTCATCTCCTACACCCATTTCTGGCAGAGGTTTCTTCCTCCAATGCAAGTATGGGAATCAATTTACTCATAGAGTTGCACAGGAGCAGGGTTGAAGCTTTCTCTCCTAAAATTGACTGGAGGCAGTCAAGTTTCCTATTGCTAACCCCCCCAAGAAAATAGTATGTTTGATGGGTGGATGGGCTTCTTTTATCCTCTAGCCAATTTGGGGCAGGAGAGGTTTCTATCCAACAATGCTTCCTCCCCACCCATCTATGGAGATATTCTCATTCAACTGTAAAGGGAAAAACTGTTCGGTGGGTGCTTCAGGGCAAGCTGGTGGAGTACAATGAAATCAGCAGATGCTGCATTGCCAGCCCCAATTTTAGATTTTTCTAAAGATTTCAATGAAGGTGAATTTTAATAGCAGAAGATACTGTTTTTGCTTATCATTATGATACATTTTGGACTGCTTTACAGCTTGTTAATCAAAATATATTGCTAAATGCATCTATTCATAGATGGCTTTTTTCTCTCTCCAAAAAGTATCCCTTTCCAAAAAAGATAGGTAGAACAGTTTAAAATATATTCATGTAAACTCACATTTCAGGAGATCCAATCACCCAGCTGCGGTCTCGACTCTTCAAGCCCACAAGGCTATCAAGTCTGTCATCCTTTTCTTCACTGAAGCTCCGTTTGGTGGGGGGTGGTGTTTTTCTCTCTTCATGGATAGAAAGACGTTCCATGCTGCTATATACCTATAGGTATAACACAATTGTTCATCAGCAAACTAAATTATTCAGAACTCAAATACTGGATTTGGTGATGTCTTTTAATTAGCTGTTGTTACTTATCTGTAACTGCAATTCTCCAGAATTCTTCAAGAAATCTGAGTATTTACACATATAAGATTGTACACTTGTGCAGAGCCCTACTCAGAAGATTCTAGGGTTTACAGAATTGTTTGATGAGATTCCAGCCACCAATACTACCCATGTATAATAAAACTAGGCACAGCTGCCACCAAACCCCTTCAATTCCTAAAACCAACATGGAGAGTCTGAAGTAACAGTGAGTTTACTTGAGACCAAGCACAGTAGGATGGTGGACAGTGTGGATTCACAGATTACCATTCAAAGAATTACAATTACAAGTGAGGAACCAGTTCTTCATCATCACAATTTCACACACATGAGTGAATAGCATTTTTTTTAATCTGAGAAGGGTCTGGTCATCATAAGTGACTGAAGAGAATATGGCTCTTTCAAAGGTAACATTTCTTTAGGAAAAAGGTCTGTTTTAGAGTATTGGATGGAAGTAGGAGAGCTGAGCCCATGTGGCTCCCCAGCATAATTCCTGTAGTGGAATACTTCAGAGAAAGGCTACTGATGCTGTCATTCCTCTTATGGAGTGTGGACTGGAAGGGGGAATGGGTGTTTGGCCAGCTTATAGTAAAATTTGATGGTTTCCACTATCGATTTGGAAGGATGCTGGGAAGAAGACCACATCCTTTAAATGGGCCTTGGAAGAGCAAGAATAAACATTAGTCCTGGAGAAATGATGTCAAACAGTGCAAGTAAAAACAGAAAACACAACAGACTTCCAAAGAATGAAGTGACGGTGTTGAGGGATTGTGGGAAAAGATAGGTAAAACAATTTCTTGATTCAAGAAAAAGGTTGAGATTGACTTCAGAAGGAAGGAAATATCTGGGCAAATGATTACCTTGTCCCTATGAAAAATAAGAAGAGTAGGATCTCATTATAAGGAACTTCTAAAAGCCTACATTACAGCTATTAGAAAGGCTACTTTCCATGACAGAAGATGAATTAAAAATGGTATCTGTGGCTCAACAGGTTTTGACATTAACACAGAAAGGACTGTTAGTGGGCATGATAATTCAAAAGTTATACCCAGACAACTTTCAAACTATTTGTGCTCTCTTGAAGCAGCACCTTTTCAGAAGAGGAGATCTGGATTTCCTCTTATATCTTACCTTCACAGTTTTCACTGATAATGGATATTATTTAGATTTTCAGAGTTACTGAGAGTCGGGTGGCATACAAGTTTAAATAATCATCTGCATTCTTGCTCTTGTGCTGACAAGAGTCCACCAAGTTAGCCTGCACTAGCCTAAGTATGTCCTGACATTCTCTGGCATATGAGACTGAAATGGGGATAACTACTTCTACAAAAAATGATGGGATTTTATATACATGTTTGATAATTGACAAGATGGAATGGTACCCCTGATAAAGGTACAGCTAAGTCATAGGGATCCTCACAGGCAACAGAAAATTCAATCAGTCTCCCAAAAAGATAACATCGTTCCCAGACATTATTTGGGACACAGTAGGAACCTTGGAGAAACAAGCATGCTCCCAGACAGAGGTCTGCAAACAAAAAGAACTGTGATGTGCTCATTTAGTAAATGTAGCATTTACACGTATCTGCTGTGTGATCTTCACCAAGGCAAATAGGACATAGTTTATACCTATCCAAGGGAATTGCCAAAATGGAGTCCTGTGGAGTCCTTGGGGTTCTCTGAGCTTGGTTGTTTTCTTGCAAACGTTTCGTTACCTGGCTAGGTAACATGTTCAGTGCTAGAATGGATTGGGGTTTGCTCTCTGTTTATATACAGTGGCATGCCCTGCCAGTGTGGGTGGGGGTGGGGGTGGGGGTG